GAGGTTAAGTGACTTGTCCGAGGTCAAATAGCTGATAAGTAAGTGTGGGAACTGAGGTTCCAGTCCAGCCAGGGTGGCATGCAGTTGGCTTCTAAATAGTCAGCGTGTGTATGCCATAGTCATTTATAACACTTTAGTTTTTGAAAATCAAATTATATCTGCAACAGAGAAGACATTTAAGAGCTTCCTACCATTTAAAATTGCCCAGCTTATTAACTCACTGGTCATATTGCATTGCTGATACTCAGTTGGTTGCCTACCTTCTGATTAATTTGTTCCTTAAAAAAATTTGTAGGATTTTGAAATAATGTCTTATCACAAGAGAAAGGGAGTCCAAGAAAAACCAGATTGTATTCCATTATCATTTACTCCCTGTTTACTCAGCCAATATTTAGTGAACATCTTTTGTGTGCCAGGCACTGTGCTCAGCACCGTGTATGAGCATTGTTGAATAAACATGGCCACGCTCTTGCAGCCCTGCCAGTGGAATGAGTAGAGTGCATCAATGTAGGGTCCAAAGGTGTAAGAAATTAAGATGAGATCTCATTTCTACAACAGCTGACACACCCAATTATAAGATAACTCAATGCATAAAAAGCTGCTAGAGTGCTCTTAATGCCTTAATGGCTGTATGGACTGTGCTGTGGTTCCCAGTCACAGTGTCCTGCTGCTCAGTGTGAGAGGATGGGCTGGCCTCATAGCCATGGATGCCCTGAGTGATTTCCATGCTGGCCTGTCTCTCTATACAGCACCAGTGGGAATGGGCTTTTGTGAACAGTAACTGGCAGGTAAAGGGTTCCAGAGCCTGATACAGACCTAAAGTGCTGTACTATAAAGAAGAGAAGAAGATCACGGGCCCCGGAAGTAGCCAGGGAAAGGTTTGCAAAAGTTATAGGGATTGAATTGGGCCTTTGTGGCATTTCACTGGGTGGGATTTGTTTGTTTTTCTTTTCATTGGCCCACTACTTGTTCCTAGTCCAGTTCCAAATGTGGAGGATAGAGTAATGAGCACCCCAGATTAGACCCTAGCTCTCACAGGTCTTGCAGTTTTGGGTGGGGAGAGAGAAGGAGAAAAAAGTTACTAAGATTATTTCATGTAGTGTTAAGTGTAGTTAAGACAATTAAGAAACACTGTTAGAATGATGTGGTGGGCAGGGGGACATGGTAGTGAGACTTTATTTCAAATGGTTGGGAGAGGCATCTTTGAGGTGGCGACTCTTGAACTAAAGCCTGAGGGTTGAGGAAGAACTGGCCGTGCAGCGAGGAGTCTATGGGAAGAGCCATGAAGTCAGTGAGCACAGCCAGGAGCATGAGAGGAAGCATTCCATCAGGGAGTTGATCCAGCCATAGAAGAGCTGCACTCTGGAAGGGCGTGGTTGCAGTGGAGGCTGAATACTGTAGATGAGTGCCAAGTGATGCAGGGTCTTGTATGTGAGATTAGGCAGGAATAAGGACTGTGTGTTTCTGTGTGTGGATCTAGGAGATGAGTAGTTAGAAGAGAGGAGAATCTGGATGAATATGCATGGAAGCTTAAGGAGACTTGTGAAATTAAGATAGTGACATTTAGTTCAGGTGGCCTATGATGAGGGGCACCCAAGTCACACAATGTCTCAGTTGCTTCCTGTTGGAAGTTGAATATAGTCCTGAAGTGAGGCATACATGGTGCTTTGTTGACTACTCCTTCAAATTAGAGGGACACAGAATTGCCTGCAAAGAAATGGTGAAGCTTTGACAAAGGTAAGCTACAATCCAATGCCAGAAACTGTACTTACCAAGGTAATGTTTCCTAAGTCAGATATAATATAGCAGGCTCTTTTTGCGGTGATTTTTCTTGGAAATAAAAATGAATAGTATATTTGTTCATGTAAAGGAATGGCCTTTATACTATAAAACGTTTCTATGAAGGAAATAAAAAAGAGTTAGACTTAAGGTTTGATTCAACTCAGGTGGATAGATTAAAAGAGGCGTGTTTAAATGCTCATTTTTGGAATAACCATATATCATTTACTAAAGGAAAAAAATGCCCCAAATGTTGATAGAATTCTCTAGAGAAATGTGTTTAGGCAGTGAAAGGATTCCTGGCAGTGATTGAGAAATACGGTAATGGGGAACTGCACTTGATCTCTTTTGAGGTTGATTCTGATGTGTGTAGTCTTTACATCCTATTAAATTTTTGAAAGATAAACTGATACAAGAATGATTTGCCAAGGCCATATGAGGTTAACTGAATTCAAATAGAAGGTTCTCTCAAGTTATTGCATTCCTTAGAAAATAAATACATTGCGCATATGGTTAAGATTGATCAAAAAAGTATTCTGTATGCCAGTGATTACATTCCCATCTGTGATTAAGGTTTTCTGTCTGCATCTGGTTTTCACATTATATTTCTGTAACAAGAATCCTTTATATAGCAGAGTTCACTTTCTGTATTTTCTATTAGCTGCAGCTTGAACTACTGCACGGATCGCAGATTTACACATGTGGTTTTCATTACTTCATACCATTGAGAAAAAGTAATATTTGTTTGGGAATGTATGTTTTCCACAATTTCCATGGTAATACAACATGTTGAGCCTTTTAAATAACACTTGTAGAACTACAAATTGTTTGAGGCATTCTGCTCTTGGTGGAGCTTAGCTTTTAAACTTTTCTCAGTGTGTTCCCCTCGTAATGAGGTTTTACAAATTTGAGGGCTGAGCATCCAGATCTGAACAAAGCAATTATTAAAGATAGATATTTTATTATCATTTCCATGTGACAGACTTCAGTGTGGAATAGGTATCAGGAATACCTGAACATTGTGCTTATTACTATTATTTATTTTTTTATTATCTCATGTTGGAAGAGCATTTAATGTGTTGGAGATATGAAGCACAAATGTGACACTCCAGTCATTATTTTGAAAACTCCAAAGATTAGCTTTTTCTGAGTTATTCTATTGATTGTGATATATTGTTTCATATACAAAATAGTTAAGTGGGTAAAATCCTCATGGGTAACTTTAGATTTACGTTGTATGTTGTTTGAAAGTATATTCGTGTACTGTGTTAACATTTAACAATTTATAAATATGTACATTTAAAATATTTTGTTATATTCCTGCCAAAATTTTCTTCATTCACTTTAGAAAACTCTGATAGTTACTACAAGTGAAGTTAAAAAATAAAGCAGTATATTTCAAATTGAGAGATCATTTTTATTTGAAAAATTTGTTTTAAAGGAAGTTTATCATACGGTAATTTTATGTGCCTCAAAACCAAGATTCACTACACCATTTTTGTTAATAAACCCAGACTTTGCTCTGGTATTTAGCAGTCATGAGAAGGAAGAAATAGACTTAGACTCTAGAGGATTTGTGTATGTTTTGCTTGGTTCATTTGTTCAGCAGAGATTAACTATGGCTCATACAGTAGGATGATCCACTTTTGTCAGGCTCTCTAATGGCCTTTGTTGATGGCTGCTGAAGCACAAAATATATATTATAAGTGAATCTAAGAAGAGTATACATTTTCTTTTTTCCCAATATTTGTTTAATCTCTCTATATAAAATGTTCTTTACCTTTGTACAGAAAAATTGGAAATAACAGAATGTGCAGAAAAATTACCCATATTTCAGTCTTCCAGAAATAATCATATTTAACATCTAGGTATATTTATTTCCAGTCTTCCCCTGTGTGTGCACCCCTCCCCCACTCCACTATTTGAATACTTCCATAATCTATATGTGTACATATATTTATATATCTTGGTTATATTATGAAAATTTTTTGCTTTACCATTTGTTAATAAAATTGTTAGTATTCATAGTAAGCTAAATGTTTCCAAGATCTAGCTGATTGTCTTTAATGATCTTTGCTGACTGCAAGGCAATTCCCATCTAAGAAATATCTAGTAATGTATTTTAATTAATTAGTACTTATTTACCTTTTTAACCTTAAAGAATAATAAGAAACAACTGATTACATCACAAAAGAATCATAATATGTCACATAAACTACATCGATTTTTTTAAAATGTAGAATCTGCTTGTTTTATTTACATCAGAATATGTTCACCAATTTTAATTTGCAGGAGGTAATTGGGTCTAAAAAAATAATAGCAACAGCCTTAGTAATTCCTTTTGAGACTGCTTTTATAAATCTTTCTTCCCTTGAATTTATTGAGTTCCTACCTTATATGTGTATGATTGTACTAGACCCTTATATTTCCTAGTTTGTAAGAATTAAATAGCAATACTTTTCTATTCATAGTTGTGATAGTAGTGGTAGCATTATTAATCATAGTAGATGAGTAATAGACACTCAATAAATATTTGGGATTGAACAAATTCTAAATTTGTCAAATATAGCCAGAAAATAGAAAATTTGTATTACTAAAAGGAAGAAAAGCAAGGTGTAGAAATTTGTCGATTTGGTAAAATAATTCAACAATATTTGTTTTATTAATATTTTTTAAACTATTACATAAGGATTATTCTTCACTGTTAGTTGTGTTAAACTATGTGACCTAATAATGGCAATACTGAAATTTCAGAACAATGAAACAATATTTGAACAATGAAACAAACCACTTTGTTTTGAAACAGGATTAACTTGTATGTAAAATTCCATTTAAAAAGTCTAAATTTTTTTCTAAAGAAAACATAATATCTGACAGACTATTTGATTTTTTGAAACAGGTAAAATACAATATTCTATTAAGGTATTGATGTACATATCTTTAAAACCAATTTAAGGAAAGAACTTTCAGGTTCAGTTTGTATCCAGCTTTGAGTCACATAATTGGAAAATTAAGAGTCCTTTAGAAAATGTTGTTATAGGAACTGAGGCAATGGGGATTGTTTTGGATTCTTCTAAAATTTAGAAGAGCTTGTATCTGTTTTTGTTTTTGTTTTTTTTTTTAAACAAAACTGGCCTAGTGTTATCATGTAAACAGTTGAGTATGATACTTCAGACTGGTTGTGATATATGCATTTTTTTTCCCTTTGTTGTTGTCAATAGAAAAGATTGATCTCTGGGCTGGTGAACATAATCTCTGTCCCAGTCAGAAAAGGAGAGAGGAAATTAGCAGAGCGATTGGTGGAGAATGATATCTGTCAAAAGAAACACTTGGAGAGCACTGAGTTTAGTAATAGGTGACTGCCGGAAAAAAGGGAACTTTGAATATTGTCAAGGTAAGGAACAGACAAATATTTTGATTTTTGTAATTTACGTACCAGAAAAATCCATCTATTTTTTTCCGATAAATTATAATTGTAAAGATTTTCTTTTTTTCCTTCCTTCTTCTAGTGCCTGTTGTATTTTATGTTTTAAACATTTGTTTTTGAAATCTTTGGGTGTGGGGGTTGGGTGGAGATCAATCTGGTGGTGGGAACCCTGTTTCATAGTTTTGGGTCTGAATATATCAAATGATCAAGTACCAAATTTTTTCACCCTCTTCTTGTTGCAGTGCTTCTTGCCATGTTTCATAATACATCTGTTATAAACTAAGCAATACTTGGAGTTAAAGAGTAAAAGCTATGCCATGATTTCTGTGTTTATTGTAACGAGGAGATGGTGTTTTCTGAAACAGTTTGTTGACTAAATAGGCAAAAAAGTGCCTTTCAGTTTATTATTTCTTCTGATGTATTTGGATTTTTTAAAAACTTTCAGGCAAATGTCACTTCCTAAGCAGAGTTCATTCCATAGACACATTAAGAAAAAAGGTGATATCTAAATTTAGGAAAACAGCAAATATAAACTAAGTGTATTGCCATTTGGCAAGAGACTTCTTAAAGTCTGCAATATTTGAAAATTCAAGGAAGCCCTGAATTATGAGAGAGAGCTCACATCTCCTGTAGCCAACTCTGTTCCAGGTTTAGTGGATAGTGGACTTGTACAGAAGCACCAGTACATAAGGATCCACTGCTAAGAAAAAGTTGAGAGTCAACACAAATGTTCTGTGATACTGGTTGGCACTCTAGGTTGGGAAGAGATTTTAAGTTCTGTGACTGACTGACTGACTACGTGGAAAGAGGGGGAGTGAAATATTCAACCTCGGTGACCATTGTTTTGGAAACATAACTGCTGGTGTCCACCTCACAATCTCTACTCTTGCCATTTTTGCAAATGCTTATTGGCTTGTTCTTAAAGTTCTCAGGAAGGTGTTGGAAAATAAGTTGTTTTTTTTTTTTTTTTTTTTAAGACCAGATAAAATGAAATAATTCCCTGTAGAATGATACACTCCTTTGGGGAAGCCTTGATCATGATCTGGTTTCTGAGTCTGTATTTCCCTTCCTTTCATCCCTCCTTCTTCATATTGTGATGATGTTCTTTTAATACAATTAATGAGAGACATCAATTCAAAAGAGAAGGCAAGGAGTTCAGTTCTTGAAGCAGTTGAGACATCTCCCATGACTACTTCTCTTTTCTTACCTTATGCACTGTTGTTACTAAACATTGGTTTTTTTTTGAGAACTCAGATCTTGGTTGATTAGCCCTGTAAAGTCTTGCATAGAGAAAAAGAAAGGTATCAGTATCTTAAAGGAAACAAACTAATAACAACCATCACTATTTTAGAATTGTTTTCTTTTCATCTTCCACCAGCTTGGGTTTCCAAACAGGATGGAACTCCTTGCTTTCTGCCTTTTGTATCTGAATGGAGTTTGTATTAATATGATAAAGATATCTATGATGCAGATTAAAAATTGAAAAGGATATTGGATTTTAAAGCTTGAACATATGGCAGATACATAGAGTTACTATCTTTACCTACTCCCATCCCATTACAATCTATTTCTTTCTGGTCATGTGGAACATATCTGGCCTGCTGGCTATTAACCATTGCAGCTTGGAAGATCCATGTTGAAAGCAAAAATGCATGACAAGAACGTACATCTTAATATAATTTTAAATACATTTATTTGTTATTCATGTATGGAATCCCCAGCATCGTGCATCAGAAATACCATGTGCAATTTCTTCTTTTTTCCTCTCCCTCTCCTACTCTCCTTTATGCGTGGTTTGTGTCCATACTTTAAACATGTGTATATACACATACACATATTTGTATTGAGCTATTTTATAACTACTGGATTTTCTTTGTTTTCCATGTGGCATAAAAAAATTACTTCTAGGCTGGGCATGGTGGCTCATGCCTATAATCCCAGCACTTTGGGGGAGGCAGGAGGATTGTTTGAGCCCAGGATTCTAGACCAGTCTGGGCAACAAAGTGAGACCCCATCCCAACAAAATTTTGAAAACCCTTGACGAGTGTGATGGTGCATGCCTGTAGTCCCAGCCACTTGGGAGGCTAAAGTAGGAATATGATTGCACTATTGCCCTCCTGCCTGGGCAACAGCAAGACCTTATTTTAAATAAATAAATAAATAAATATATTAACAATAATTACTCCTAGTTTTTTTTTTCCTCTTTGTAATAATATTAGATGTATAGAAACATGGGATTCAAACTCAAGAAGTGGAAAAGAACAGAAATCACATACTTTATATCTTGGAACACCTGGAATCCATTGGATTCTTGGAGTTTTGGCGTTGTAATTTAGAAGCAGCTAAAGCAAAGGACTGCCCATGGCTGAACAGTCAGCATTGTGGGTGAGAATGGCCTGAGGTGGCGCCAGAGAGTCTGCTCTGTGTAGCAAGTTTGAAGCAGGCTGGTGTCTTCTGCAGATCGGGGCGGGGGGAGAAATGATACTAAACGGGTATGCCACCAGCTTGGGTGGAAGCTGGCAAAATGAGAATGCTGGTGTGTCTCCCACCTGGTGTTTTAAAGCGTACCCAAGGTACGCACAGTGCTTGGTCTTCTAGAATGCCATTTGGAGCCATTCCCTGTAATGCCTGCCATTGTAGGGACCGGACAGATTTAGGACATGTAGGAGTGGTGGTCTGGCCTGAGGAGCTTTCCCTTATAAGCCATTGCGGAAAATGCTAAGAAGGGTGTAGTATTTGGCGTATTAAAAAGATCTATATGCTTTTAAAAAGATGTAAGAGGAAGCAGCTTGGGAGGAAAGAATGACAGGAAACTTTCGTTGCAAAGGGTGTGTTTAAGTTCATTCATATCATGGGATGGGATATATAGGTAGTATCAATTTTTACATATTGTGTGGGTTTCAAAAGCTGCATTCGTATTTTGAAAAAGGGTTATTTTTAAAATGCTGATATAGATGATGCTCTGCACCTTTATGTATTGGTATCTTTGTTAGGAAGAGGAAAGTTATTTTCTTAAGTAAAATTGCTGCTTTTAGAGAGTATCTGCTTTTAGTTTTAGTTTTTCTTGGTCGTGTTTGAGGGGCCTGATAGCATTAATGGGCTTTACCCCACATGGAGCTTTGAGCTTATTGTAGCACTGCACACTGATCCCAGGTCAGTGTGATGCGTGAAATCAATTTATTTGAATCTCTTTGCCTCTATAGGAATTTGGCAGCATGCCAGTTGTTTTCATTTAATGTTCTTTGTGTTGAACACAGACAAGCAGGCATGCTTTTGTATTCTTCTCTCTTTTGGTCTCTGTCTCTTTCAGCCAATATTTTACTCTATGGATTTTGAGATGAAGGGAGAATATATTATTTATATCATTCTTATCATTGTTTAATTATGTATATACATATATAAATTCATCACTTTCTTATCTTTTAAAGGATGTTTGATATTTCTGAGTTTTAATGGTGACTGCACATAAGAAATATTTTAGAGTTTTGTTTAAATACAATTTTTGATGAAACATAATAAATCAGATTATAGGTGGTATTTGCTTACATTAATTACCACTATCAAAATTTAAAATAACAATGTTAATTACATAATGCAAACTATGTTTAATTTGTAAACTGGACTATCAAAATCATTTATTTCTTGGTGAGCCTTCTTTGAATGTGAAGATTTACACTTTAATCAAGCATGTTAAAAATTATAATTATTTTAGTATAATTTTCTTTGATCCATCTTGATTAAGATACCAGTGTTTTACATAGATTTGGTATATATGAATTTTTATGAAGTTCCTGCCATTAAGGTAGTTTTTTGTTTTTTAAAATTTGGAGGGTAATGACTAGGAATAGCACAAAGATTTTCATGACAAATAAAATCAGACCTTTCTCTGGATGTTTTTGTAGGCAGGATTTGTTTCTGGGTCAGCTTTAGGAAGAGGTGGAGAAGGAAATGAGAGAGAGTGAGAGGAGAATGTTCTGTTGATGCTCCAGGCAGTTCTTGCGGAAGTTGATATGCAGAACCATGGAGCCGCAGCTTCGGGGTCAGGCTCATACCCAGCAGCCCTGCTTCCTTGTTTAATTACCTGAAGAGCAAAACAGTCAGGCTGGGAGTGTGTGAAAACCCAGTATCTCTCACAGCCGCCTGGCGCTCTGACATCCTGCAAGGCCAGCCCTGTCTGTCCGCCAGCGTCAGGCTGGCTCAAACCCTGGGTTCCTTTCTTTCGGGAGGCATTGTGTGGAAGAGGGTTTGGTCAGGAATTTGAGGTTCCTGCCAATGCTGTGTCCCCTGCTCTCCCCTTTTGGACCACACTGACAGACATGCTTGATTTAAAAAAAAAAAGGATCTAAAAATTTGGCTCTTTTATTTTATACTTCTGGCCTTGTTATGAAACAATCTCTTTCAACAGCAACAGACGTTAACCAGTAGAGGGCTGGCCTTAGTTTGTTGGGTTCTTATTTTCTTAGTTCCCGTTATATAGTGTCCTATGTGTGTTGCTCTTTTCAAGTCAGACTCATTAGTAGGCCAGTGTGGAGCTAGGAGTTTAGAAATTGCTTTTATGGGGCGGTTTTGGAATCTTAATCTGTCCATGAAAATAGAATAGTCCACTTGAAAAAAAGGTGATATAACTTTTACACTTGGATGTTTTTTCCTTTCCTTGGAATTGGAGTATGATCTTTGACATTTGCAGTGAAAAGGACCACACCCTTTGATGAAGCTGGGGGTGGTGAAAAATAATATTTGAACAGTAATGTGTGGCCAATTTGAGGGTAACATGGGATAAATATTCTGAGAAGTGCTTGGAGATGGAACCATTTGGGAGATCCCACAAATATAACAGGATTTTATCTTACCAAGAGGAAATCCAGCAGGTTCTCTGTCCGCACTGTGGGCAGATGAAACGTCTTTGCTGTGGGTTGGGGAGCAAAGGTG